GGATGGGGTCTCCAAGGGAGAAGAGTAGGCATAGCTAAATTTTTCAATGCCTGACACCTGACAAGCATGATGAATGGGCGTCCTGCACGGGCTGCCGGCGGTGACAAACGGCCCGCTCCCTCCTTCAGGCTCCAGGAAAACTTTGCAATTATTTCCTCTCGCTTCGCAAATGAGTCCCTCAATCAGCCTCGCACGAGAGTTTCCCTTATTTACTCCTGTTTAATGGTCCTTCTAAAGATCAGATCCAAACGCAGGATGGAAGTCAACACAAGGACTTCTGTACATTTCCAGGTGACTTCGGACCAAGCGCGTTCTCTCGCTCTCCCTGGGCTGTTTTTCGTGGAAGGGTGGCTCACCACCGTTGGGTGGGCCGAGAAGCCCGTTTTCTTCCGAACTGATCACATTTCATGGGGCAGGGGGTTGGTTGGGTTGCAAGAGGGGCAAAGGACTGTTGGCATGAAAATGTGGCAATGGGAGTGGGTTGTCTCTGAGTTCCCCTTGGCCGTCCTGCCTCCTAAGAGTAGCCGCCTGTCTCACCGGAGCCTTGCAGAGATATAGGACATGTCGCGGGTTAGTTGTCCTGTTTGCCTTAGATGTAAAGACGAGAGGAAAGAGTCCAGAAGCCCTGTCTGCACACAGAGATTTGTTTTATTTTGTCACTCTGTAGTATGCAGAAATCAATGCATTGCTTTGATTTAGCAAAATGTCTCTTGTGCAAGATTATTTCAAACGCGCTTGACAGAACCTTTTGTTCCCCCCTTGTTTTTAGATTGGTGCCTTCCCCCCTTTTTTTAACCCTCTTTAACTTGGTGGCCCTGGCTAAGCCCGCCTCCTTCCGTTTGGTCTGCCTTGCGGAGAGAACAGGCAGATTGCGCGGAGGGCGTGTGACATAGAAAGTTGTGGAGGCTGCGTTATTTATTTGCCTGCTTACTTATTTGCTGAGACACTTTTGCTCAGAAAACATGAGCATCAGTGCTACTAATGAGAACGGCGACTCCGAGATCTGTGAACTGATGCAGTGTGTGTCTGTCTCTTTGCAGAAAGCCCCATCTTTGAAAGACGAGACCGAAGAGCACGCCGAGCATAGAAAATTGGAGCAAAGTTGGATGTGCCATTTGGGCCTGACCTTGGGATCCAGAACATCAGAGAGGTAAGCGTCTTGCCGCACTGTTTAGTGCATATTTACTCCTTTGCAGGTTCAACAGAGCACATGTGCAAGAGAACTTTGTTGCCTAAATGTGGGTGATCCGGCCTCTATATCAGATCTGTGGAAACAGGAACATAGGCATAGTGGCAAATTTGGCCATCTTAGACATGGATGTTTCTGGCTCCTTGACTGTGGGCAGGAAAGAAAATCCCTTTCTTGGCTACCAGTGGCCAGTACGTTCTGCATTTCCTCTTTTCCTGTCTGTTTGGGGAAAATGAAATGGTTATTATAACTCCATGGCATTTTCCTCTTCTGTCCATGAAGAGCTATGCATGTTTATTTGGCTTTATAGGACCTGGAAGACTTTTAAAAGCTCGGAGAGCAGATGATGTCGTCTTGTAAGAGACAAGAGGTGTCTACCACCTTTTGATGGAGCATTCCCGGGTTGGGTCTCTGGATCGTTCCCTTGCTTCACGATGAGCTTGTGGCTGTATCTCAGATTCCAAAACGATGTCATGAATGATGCAGCCCTTAGCTGAGTCATCATGACACCAGCGATGCCACCGTGCCAGTCCTGGAAATGATGTGAGCCTGTTCTCGGGTCATTGCTGTTGAGGGAAGAGCCAGGAAGCGTGACTCATTGGAGAGTCTCAAGTGCCTCTGGAATGATTCTAAGATTCCCCCGAATTTTATGGGATGGTTGCTTATTCTGTATTTGAATGTCAAGCAAGATTGTATTTTTAACTCTGCAGAAAGCAAAGCTGAGCATCTTTCCTTGAAGCCTTTTTTATTTGTCAGGAGAATAAACAGTGCTTCAGATACTTGTGAGGGAAACCTAACTTGTCCTGGGTTCAAACTGTCACACTTGATTTTAGGAAGGTCCACGTTCCCCCCACCCCTTCCGTCCCCCCTCGGGTCCTGGAGTCCTCCCTCTTTGGTCCCAAAAGGAAACCAGATGAAGGGTGAAAAAGAACGGGGTTGGCCGAACTTGGATTAGAATCGTGAATGTCGACATACAAGGTCGGATTTGTGCATGGGGGCTGCCCTGTCCCTTGAATCTCTCTCTCTCTCTTCAGTCAAACTGGTGTGGGTTTCTACTTCCGAGCCATTGAAGGTGGCTTGGGAAGGTGAGACAAGCAAGGGGAGAGCGCAACAAGGATGGCTTGCAACACCACACCGGAAACAAGCCGATCCTTCTTAGTTCCTCCCTCTCCGGGGGGCTGTAGATTGAGGGGGACTCCCTGTCACCTTTGATGCGTCTTGACTTTCCTTGGGATCTTTGCTCAATGCCACGTTTTGCAGTCCTGGGTGAGTGCCACGAAGGAGCTTTCCTTGCTCTAAGCTTTCCTTGGGCCTCCTGCCACGCTGCTCAATGCAAACCCATGAATGGAAAACTGGCCTCTCTTGTGTCCTTTCTGTGCAACAAAGAACATTCTCTGGCTGAGGTTTCCTTCCCCCCTGGGCAGAAGCTTTTCCTGCTGCTGCACCACCCTCCTTTCTCCCTGGATCACCCTTGTGATTCCCACCCACGGCCCACCGCCCCCTCCCGGCGTGTTGCGCAGACCCCCCAGTGATGGCCTGGTGGCTCCAATTTTTCTTGCGCTCTTTATTTGCGGAGCGGCTGCCGCTCACGGCCCTACTCCTAATAATGGCAATTACCGTTACACGTTTGGCTACAAGGTATGTCGGCGGTAATGGGATCCAGAGGGACAAAATTAAAGCGATATAATATGCTAAGATAAATTAACGTTGTAAAATTAGCCATGGGTCTCGTCAGAGATCTGACAAATGTCTCACAGCTTCCTTACGAGCTGCTCGGAGCTCCGCTCGATTGGATTTGCGGCCCAGAGCAAACAGAAAGCAGCCAGGGAGGAAACAGTTGATTAAGGGGACGCTTTCCCCACATGCGAGCCGTTAGTGGCGCTCATGCCTCGGCTTGGCTCGGCAGAAGGCTCGAGCCCTCCGTGCGCTCCGAGACGTCAGGCTCCCCTCGTGGTAGGGCGGCTGCTTGTGCCAGTTGGCAGAGGACGGTGGTGAGGTGGCCTCAGCAGCAGCCTCTGGGCCGGCACCTTTCAAGGTGGGACGGGAAGCGCGGGACCCTCGTGGTTGAGAAGCAAGAGGAGATGACTAGCCTGGGAACGAGGTCTTGATCTGTAGTTTGGATGCACATTCTTGTCTTATCCTCATGTTTAGAGAACTGCAAAATGACTCTCCCTGACACATGAGGAGGCAATGTTGTTTTGAAGTGCTCTGGGCAAGAGGAAGACTCACACTTCCTTCCTTCCTTCCTTCCT